AAGGAAAATGGGAATTTAAATTATTTTTATTTTGAAATTGTTTGCCTTAAATCAGAGATTTGTGTGGCTTTTGATGTGTCCGTCCATTATTTAATTATTCTTGTATTTATTTTCGGCTTATCAAGTGATAAATAAATATTTGCTCCCCAAATCTCACCTCGGATTCATTTCATAATTAGAAATTGTGAATCGGTCAAATGGCAACCGCAACAATTTTGGGCTTGCGGCCAGGCTTTGGCTTTACCTTTGCTCGGCCAACATTTGAACATCTCATCATTTGCCATTTTCCATTTTCCACATTCTATTTTCCATATAACATTTATGCCCGCCCCGCCTCCCTCCACCGATTCGCTTGCCCTTTGGGGATTTGCGAGCAGTTTCATTTGAAAGATCAAACAGCTGTTGGGTAACTTAGGATTGTAATCCTCACACCGCATTGCACACACCGATTGCCGTATTAGCTGGACCCCAGAGGGGGCACGTGGCATGTGGCATGTGGCATCAACTGTGCCCATTCCCGCGAGCTGCTGGATTTGCATAAGCTAATAACCCAACTTTAAGCCTGGACACAGCGACTGGGCGAGCTGAAGCCACCAACGAACTGGCCACAGCAGCCGCAAGTGCAACAAACATCACACACACACACACACACGCACACACACACACACACACACACACACACACGCACACACACAATCGGGGCTTTCATTTTGCCCCACGATAAATCTAAGCGACACCACGCACCGCACACTTACACTTAATGACGTTTTATTACAAATTTAATAGAGTTACGGCAAATGAACGAAACGAAACGAATCTGAGCGCATATCAACGACATTTCCCATACCCTGCACATTGTTCTCATTTTGGGCGCCGCCATTTCTGGTCATCGTCCATTTAATATCATCATAAATTAATATGCAAATTACGAATTTCATTTAACCCAGCGACAAGAAATTGAAATTGTGTTCGTTAACATACCCTATACTAAGTGCATGCGGGTATATTGGTTGTGTGCAACAGGCAGATACACTGTCTGGACCTCAGTCCTGGAAACAGGTCGAAAAAATAGAATTTATTTCAAATGATCGATATCTTACGCCGTGTCCACGAAATCGATAAATTTAGGTTGTAGATTCTTGTACTTTACACACAGCTTTAAAAGATATCAATTGAATAACTTATAAGCTGAAAATTTCATAAAGATCGGACAACAAGCACCGAAGTTACTCACGAACTCAGATCTCAAAGTGGAAAGAAGAGGAAGTTCGAATAATTGTATAGGCAGCTCGGCGCTGGGCTCAGGGTATCTCCGAGTCGAGCACTGCCGCATAGAGCACTCGCTAGTTTGTTCCCATTATAAACGGAATACTCCCCGGCCACACTTCACACCCTGCAACGCATATAAGTACAGCTGGTTTATTGCATGAACTTTATAAAGTTGCGGGTTTAACAATATAAATTATCGAGTATTGGGAAGTTCTCTTCATTTTTACAGTAACAGTTTACAGAGTTTTAACTAATTAATAAATTTTCATCAAAACTCTTTTTAATTTCTCAAAGATTTTGTAGATTTGCCCAACCCTTGCTCTGCAATACTTCAATCAAGAACCGAATCAAACATCTTTCAAAAATGCTTGACATTTTCCAAAGTTTTATAAACAAAACTTATTTGACACTTTATTTTAAATTTGTACGGCAAATCAAAAGATTGCTAAATAAAATGTTTCTTAAAATATACCTGCGTATAAATAAATATGAAGATGTCAGGTGGGATACGAAATTGGGTCACAATATGGCCGAAAATGTGACTGGTTAATATGAAGATAATTAAATGTGGCTTTGCTTAAATAGACATTTGCCAATCCTCAAGAGAATTCAAGGATATTTCATTCCCTCAATCCATTTTACCTACTCCCAACTATGTTATGTTTCTATGTTATACTGTTCCTAACACATCTCTTATGTTGTCTCTACTTTAGTTCTCAAATGTGTTCCCTGCCTTACTCTCAGCACTCACTGTTCCACACACATTTTTGTTTTTAAATTGTTCCTCAGTTTTTTTCCCAAATAAATTCCCAGATTTGTTCTTTAGAGTTTTATTTGTTGTCGTTATTTATTTTCTTTCTCAGCTCTTTCTGTCACAATATCCCCTTTTCAATGCCCAACTCTTTTAACTTTTTTTTCTTCACAACTTCATAATTTGTTCTCAACTTTTTTCTCAAATCTGTACCTCTCCTTACATAAAAAGTTGTCCTTACGATATTTTCATTACTGTTTACAACTCTGTTGACAGCCCTGTTAGCGATCTGTTCCCAGATACGATTTCAGCTCCGTTTTCGGCTCTGTTCAAAATTATCTACCCAAATATATTTGCTGAGTCATATATACACCAAAGTTCTTAAATGTGCCTTGATCACATTTGTTAATTTTGCACTATGCCACGCAATATTTTCTGTTAACTCTTTTCGTTCACCGCTGTTTTCAGATCTATTTTTAAATTTGTACCTAAATCTGCATTTTAATTTGTTCCTTATACCCAGTTCTGAATTTCAATCTGTTCTCTGTTGATTTTACAGTATGCTCTACACTGTTCACAGCTTTGTTTCCAGCCCTAATCTTTAATGCATACTCAACTCTATACTCAACAACAATCCCACATCCGTTTACATATCCCATTATTCAGTTTCCGGGATTATTCTCAAATGCGCTCCCAATTTAATAAACGGTTCTTAACTCTGCTTTTCATCGTTTTGTCAATTTGGTCCCAGCTCCATTTAATCTACCCAACTCATTTAAGCCTTATTTCTATTGTATTCTCAATTTTATTCAGCTTTATATTAAACTCTGCTCATTTCAATCTGTTCTCAGCTGCTGGCAGGCTGCTCAAAACTGTTGCTATTCGTCTTGCTAAATCTGTACCCAACTTTGCACCCAACTCTTTTCCCGCACAACCTAGGTGTTCCCCGAGAGTCGCCCCGGCTGACCCCACCACGATCTCCTGGGACAGACCATGTAAGGCATCCAGTTATTTGGGAGCTGGCTGCTGCTCCACATGGCCAATGTCTCTGCCAGATTGTGGGGCCCGGCGCGTTTTGTTTTTATTGATCGCCGAATGCTGCCAACATAGCGAGTATATAAAATAATTGTATTGAATTGAATACCGCGATGTGTTCCCAATGCATAAACAGTCCGAAAGATTTTGTTTATTTGCTTAAGACTTACGCATCATCATTATCGTCATGACAGATGTGGCCACTGGCCACAGTGGACTTCGAATTGGATTTTCTTGGCTTTCTGCTTCTTTCCCTTCTTTTTCTTCTTCTTTGGCTATCCGAAAATCCAATAAACAATCAACACAAATCTTAAGATTTGTTGCGAATCAAACTGTGAAAAAAAAACACACACACACACACACACAAACACAACAACAACAAAAAAACAAACACAGAACGCGTCACGCTTAACGACTTTCCACTGGAACTTAACTGAGATCAGTGCGCGAGCAGTTCGAATTTTCGGTTTTGGTTTCGAGTTCGATAGAATTCGAATTACGTTTCGTATCTAATGTTAAAGTTTCCTGCTCCTTTAAACATTTTTGCTGAATGCGCGCATTCGTTGGCAGCGCGCTCGCGAAGCTAACGGTAACAACTGAGGCAAGCGAACGCTTGCAACATGTGGCATGTGCTGCCGCTGCCGATGTCGATGCCGATGTCGATGTCGATGCCGGTGCCCGACGTCCGACGTCCGATGCCGAAACGTACTCAATGAACAAACAGCTGACAAATTTATGAATGAAAAAAGCTTCAAGCGACAGCCGCAGCAGGCGTCAAGTTCAAGGTGAAAAGCGTCGCGATGAAAGCTCTTCGCTCTTCATTTTTTTGTTTGCTTGCCAAAGCTCAGGAAAGTAACGGAAATTAACCGTTCATCTTTGAACTCGGAACAAACGTGCATTTTTAATACATAACAAAAGTAATAGAGCCAGAATTAAGGGATATTATTGGCACGCCGAAGCTTAAATACCCTTTTAGACAAACAGATAAGTGAGAACAGTGAAGCTCGTAAATGCTGAGTTTGATGCAATTTTCTTGGGAAACAGAATATTTTGATACACAAAAACTCATTTTTCGATCGGTTCTTCCTATAAGCTATATAATATAGTAATGCGATCTTGTTAAGACTCGACTCGAAAAATATTGGCTACAACAAATTTGTATTCTTTGGCATAGCGTAATGAAAGCATGCAAACCTCTAACTCTTACTTGAATTCATGAGAATCGCATAGTGAGGCGATATTTCATATATGGCATGATTTTATTTTTTGCAGCGCAAGCGTAAAATAAACATAGCTTGCGTTAATCAGAAGAGGTAACAAGTGAAACATTCTTCACCTCTGCATACTGTATGAGAACCTTACTGAACCCACTTTGGTGTTCTCAGCTCTTGAAGCTATTGTAGTTAATAACAAGGACGCGTTCGTGCAGACGGGCATGGCTAGATCGAACTGGGTCCAATTTAAGATACTTCCCACTGTATTTAACATTCCTGTGCACAAAACCAGTATACCCTTTTTTGCTAATTTATTAGGGTATAAGCCAACACTGCTTATACACTGCTTTCATAAGCACTGCTTGCAATTCTCAAGCTCAAGTGATGAAGAAATGTTTCTGATTCAAAAAGATCTATTCAAGTTTTACAAACTGAACTTTGGTCTTTATTCTAGCTAGAAAAACGAGGGATCTTCCAGTTTTGCTAGAACAGGCCGTGACTTCAAAGTTTGTGGCCAAATCTCATGTAATATTCCCAATCTTTTGCTCGCTCTCCAAAAAGAAAACCCAAAACTCTACGCAACTTTTGATAAATAACTTATTTAATAATAATTTAATATACATGGAAGAAATATCATGGATAGAAAGACAGACAAAAAAAAAACAAAAAAAATTGTAGAAAATGTTGACAAGATGGACTCCAACAGGGGGGGGAGAGGGGTGAGGTGTCGCTTAGTAGGGCTGATAACTCTGCTGTTGTTGCTGCTGCTGCTGTTGCTGCTGCTGCTGCTGCTGTTGCTGCTGCTGCTGTTGCTGCTGTTGCTGCTGCTGCTGTTGCTGCTGCTGCTGATGGGCTAGATTTGCCTGGGCGAAGATGTGCTCGATCTCGGCATTGCTGAGCTGATCGAAAATGTCCTGGGCCCCGTGGCCGAAGCTGGCGGCCGTCAGCTGTGCCGCCTGGGAGTTAACGGGCGGCAGATAGCCTGAGAAGCGCAAAGAGAGGCGTTGCGTGAGGGATTGGCAGCAATTGGCTTGGACTGCTTGATACTTACCATCAGCTGGCGCGCTGCCGTAGGGCGGCAATAGGGTTATGGCTGGACGGCTTGGCGTGGCTGGGGGCTGGTAGAAGACCGGCTTCCAGGGCTGCTGCGGCTGCTGGGGCTGCTGCGGCTGCTGAGGCTGTGTGGGCTGTGGGGCGGGCTGCGGCTGCTCGGGCTGCTCCGACTCCGGCGTATTGGGTATCTGCGGCGAGGCGATGGCCGTGCCCGTCTCTGGCTGCACGGGCGTCGATCCGGGCAGTGGCACTATGCCGCCCGGAAACTGCGCCTCCGGCTGCCCAAAGCTGGGCGGCTGCTGGGGCAGCGGTGGCTGCACGGCGGCGGGAAAGAACTGGCTATTGGGTGGTGCGCCGGGCGCAGCCGGAAACGCGGGCAACGAGGGATTGGCCGGCGTGGCGGGCACAGCTGGAGCAGCGGGCGTGGCGGGCACAGCCGGAACAGCGGGCGCCTGTGGGAACTGCGGCACCTGTGGGAACGGGAACTGCGGAATGCTGAAATGTGGGAACGTTGGGAACTGTGGGAACTGCGGGAACTGCGGAATCTGCGGAATCTGCGGAATCTCCGGTATCTGAGGTATCTGCGGAATCTGCGGAATCTGTGGTATCACGGGCACTTCAGGGTTGGTGGGTGCGGCCGGAACTGCAGCTGCTGGCTGCACAGCGAACGTGGGCGCCGAGAATACGGGATACTCGGCGACGGGCGGGCTGGCAGCGGCAAAGGTCACGCCAGGATGCAGTGCAGCCACATGCTGCACATGCTGCACAGGCTGCACAGGCTGCACGGGCTGAATGGGTTGAACGGGAGCAGCAGGAGCGACAGCCTGGACATAGGTGGGCTGCAGGTAATCAGGCCAATTAGCGTGGAGCGTGGAGTAACTGCAGCCAAAGAACTTACCTGATGGTAATGCAGGGGCTTCAGCGGCCGGTGCAGATGCTGATGCGGATAGTTGACGCTGTACGAGGAGACGACCGCATTGCCCGGACGCAGCACATACGAAGGCGGCGCAGCCACAGCGGAGGCGATGCCACCAGCAGCGGGCAGAGCGGGAACAGTTGTGGCAGCGGGCAGGAATGCAGACGCGGGCGCAAACTGTTTGATGTGATAGCCGCCCAGGGCAGACGGATACTTGATGAAGCCAGGATGGCGGTGGGCGGGCGCAGCGGCCAGAAAAGTGGCCGCCGCGGGCAGCTGCAAGCTATAGCCATACTGGGAGGCATAGGTGCGGGCGGGCCAGTGCCCGGCGGCGCCATGCAGTATGCCACGCTTGTGCTTGCCGGTGGCCAGCGGCTGCTCCTGCTGCGGCTCCACCGACGCCGGCGCCGTCTCCGACTGATCCGACTGCTGTGGCTGCTGCTGCTCCGCGGCAGGGGTGGTGGCCACCGTGGTGGGCGTGGTGCTGGCCAAGCGGCTGCCTTGGCGCAGACGCAGCGAGCCGTGAACAGCCCTGCCGCTGGCCAAAACAACGCCCAGCAGCAGCAGCAACAGCAGCGGGCAGCATCTGCTCCTGGCACTGCAACTGGCACTGGCACGACCTGAACTGCGGCTCATCATGTTGTTGGTGCTTGGTAATCCGTTTGCGACTTTCGATTCGATTCCGTTTCGGCTGGCTAACTAGCGAATGGTTATTGGATTATGTCAACGCGTCGATTGTTGCCAAGAAAATGAAATGAACTTCCTTGGTGTTTGTTGTATTTATAAAGCGGATATCGACGTGCACCGCCGCCGGTACCGCCGCCGGCACCGCGGCTGCATACCAAACAGCCCTCACATTTCGGCTGTGGTGCACTGCACGCTCATCGGCATGGCCAGCCAGTGCGGCAATTGGCCAGTTTATGACTTTTACGCGTCCATTTCACCTGACCCGAACGCTGGACAGCGGCTCATTATGCTAACGCCAAGCAGCCCCATCTCTGGCCCACAAGCTGCTCTGCACAGTGGGCCGAAGCAGGTGTTAACTGAACCGAACCGAGCCAGTGTTGAGAAAGTGTCAGTAATCAAATTGAGACAAATGCTTGCTGTAACGTGTTCCATTCCCATTTGTTCCACTTCATTCGAAACGATGGGAACGATGGAACACGTGCTTAATTCTATTAATATTCCATTTGCATTCCAACAATAATTCGATTTTTATTTGACAAACCCTGTTTTAGGTTCGATTATGTTCCACTTTCAATTGTTCCGCTTGCTGCTTAGCGTTAATGGACATTTCATTAAAATTGAACCCGATTCCTTAATATTTTTGTACAAAAACATATATTTTTGCTTGTTCAATAACATAATGTAAAATGTCATCTTTAATTTCCATTTGTTCCATTTATTTCAGTTGCTGTGAAGCGAAACAAGCGGAATATATTTAAACAAATCTATATTTTATTATTTGTTAATCTTCGTGCTCCCCCTGCTTCTATAATAAGTATTAAAACTTAGTAATTTTTAGTGGTCCATTTCCATTTGTTCCAGCAGCCAAATGAACTAGTTGGAAATGAAACGTATATCAGACAGGCTTTAAATATTGAAACAGCTCACTTTCCGTTTTATTCCCGTTGTCTCTAAATCAAAATACTTGTTAAACTTAGTAAAAACCCATTGACGTTCCATTTCCATTTGATCCACCAGTTCTTTTTGCACTGACATTGCCAATTGGTTATAAAATGTGTCAGAGCTAGGCCTTAAGCAGTGACAGTGTTCCATTTCCATTTCATTCCCGTTGTATTTAAAATCAAAATTAATTGAATATCTGCATAAAATTGTTAAGTAATTTAGTTGGTGCTCGATTTTTGTTATATTTTTACATGTTCCTCTGGCTTTCTTATGATGGCGAATTCTTGAACATTTGAAGGCGTTTTTCCATAGTTTAAAACGTAAACAAATCAATAAATTATAATATATTTTTAAAAATTTAAGAATTTTAAATGGGCATTATAAATGAATTTTAGTTTCTGGAAGAATCTTATTTCAGGCAGTGCTAATATTCGTGCCACCACTGTAGTAGTAAGGCGAGCAGAGGCCTCTATTTCACTGTCTCTTTCTCTCTCTCTCTCTCTCTCTCTCTCTCTGTCTGTCTCTTTCATTTATCGCATTAGTTTTTCTTGCCAGTCTTTGTGCTGTTGACCACTGTGCCCTTGCGGGGGTGGGGAGGCCCGTGCGCTGTTGTACCACTGTGTCTGTCCACCTGTACAGGTGGTACGTTTCTGCACGTACGAACAAACTTTTGTTTTCATTTTGTTGCTGCTGCTGCTGCTGGCACATTTCACTTTCAGGCGCTGGCCAACAGGTGCCTAAAAAGGTAACTCGCACAGTTGATGTCATATTTTGGGCCATTTGATGCGATCGAAGCCTTTTATGGCCCGGTTACATCACGAAGTGCAGCCCATCAAAATTTGTTTAGCGCCCCAACGAAAAACTGGGCCAATCAAAACTGAGCAAAGTGCTGCCAATTTGCTGCAGCTAAGCAGCGAAAGCAAAAAATCAAAAATCACTTTAAATACCTCGCTAAACTATCAATTAGTTTGTGTGGATCGCAATTGATTTGAACGCGATTCGATTCGATTTTGATTTTATTTGTTTGTGCTTAGCTTTAGTTAAAATTCAACATTCACACGCATAAATTTCACTTGCACTAAATTTGATGTGCCTGTGGGCAAAGGGGCAGGGCGGGGCCAGCTCATATCTCAGGTGGGTGTGGCCCAACGGGTCTAGGGGAGTGAGGGGGGGGGCTGGCAATTGACATTATATCACACACATTTCGGCTAGCGCATAAGCCCAATTGAATTCCCAATTAGCCGACATTTTCACTTTTGTTTTGTTTCTTTTTGGAAAATCAAGCTGGAAACTGATTTGGAATTTTGATGTGTTTTACATATAACGCGATCTATATATAAAAGGTGGCCCCCGCAACGTCAAGGTCTTTCCCAAGCTGGCCGAGGCTTACAATAAGCCGTCGATCAATTTTGGCACATGTAATATGTTAACACTGTTTTGTATAAAACTTTGATTTGAACGAGCGCTATGTAAAACGAAAACCATAAAACAAAAAATTGGTGGGAGAACGTGTTTAGCATGTTTAAAGAAAAGGGCAAAATCATAATAATACCAAGTAAAAGAAAGGGCAAACTGTGCCAGCTGCGCGCGCGCGACGCAACAGGACTTCGAAATTTCGCTAAGGTGTGTTTTGTGTACAGGAATATTGGAATACGTGCCAACTACAGCTTGAAGCCGGAGTGTATGCTGACAACGCCAAAGGTTAGATTCTCGTAGGCCACATGCGCGAAGCCGGCCCGCTCGATCATGCTCTTGAACTGCTCCTGACGCGGAAAGCGTCGTATGCTCTCAACCAAATACTGATAGGCATGCCACTGGCCAGCCAGCAGCTGACCCATTGGCGGTATCACCTGGAAGGAGTATTGATCGTATAGCCACTGCAGCGTCTCGTTGCTCAAATGGCTGAACTCCAGGCACATGAAACGACCGCCGGGCTGCAGCACGCGATACGCCTCGCTCAGAACCTAAAACAAGACACATTAGCTCCGTTAGCTCCGCAGTCTGGATTATAAGGCCCGCACAGCTCACCTTGTCCACGTGCGTGCAGTTGCGTATGCCAAAGGCAATGGTGTACGCAGTGAAGCTCTCGCTCTTGAATGGCAGCTTCTCGGCATCGGCACACTGCCAGTCAATGCTGGCATTGGGCAGCCGATCGGCGGTCAGGCCCAGCTGGCGGGCACGCTCCTTGCCCACGTTCAGCATATGCTGATTGATGTCCGAAACGGTTACATGACTGTCACGCTGTTTCGGATTTGGCTGCTTGGCCAAGTACTTCAGATACCGAAAACTGATATCGCCCGTGCCGCCGGCCATGTCCAGCAGCCGCATGCCATGCTCGGGGCCCAAGCGCTCAATGAATATGTCCTTCCACACGCGATGTATGCCCATCGACATGGCATCGTTCATCAGATCATACGACTGGGCGACCTGCTCAAACACCTCGTGCACTGCATGGAATATAGTTATAAATTAAATGGTTTTTTTTTTTAATTGCATTTGGCTTCGTTAAGTACGTCTGTTTCTATGCAAGCTAACTTCCCAGTTCTACAGAATTCATTTCATGGACATTTCGGATCGGAGCACAACATCATATAGCTGCCATAGCTATGAATCGGCTAAAAAGCTAGTAGTGTATGAAAAGCTAATTTATTCTTTAAGACATCTTCACCCAACTTGAACCACGCTTCTTAAGCAAGCGCGATCGGACCACTTAAGCATGCAGCTCTCTCTTAGGGTATTTGTCTGCAAGGGTATTTAGTGTTCGGCGTTGCGAGATCAGCTGTTATTTCTTGTTTATTTGTTTTATGCTACATTTGCTCACCTTTCAGCTCCTTTTCGCTTTCCATCACCGTCTGGTAGCCGAAATGCGTTGTCTGTTCTGTGCCGCCGGAGGCTGTTGTGTGACTGGCCGCAGTTGCGGACGTGCGTCTGAGTAGGAGCCTGGTCAGGTTGCAGAGTTTGCGTGTGTTTTGCATTGTTATTTAATACAGCTTAAAGCTAATTTAGCTCAGTGAATGTTCTATCAAAATTATTATGAAATAAAAGAATTTGGACAGCGCGACGGCGCTAACAGCTGTTGGCTACTCGTGCAGCTATAGTTGTCCCTGTCCCACTCACGGTCATTCGATACATGTGCGTGAGCTATCGATATATATATATTGTTATGGTATTTATAAACATAAGGTTACGCGGCAATTAGCATAAATTCAAAAACGTGTAATTAACTTAAGCATAAAGTGTGTCGAATTGAATTTGACTTGTCTTATGCAGACTACAGAATGTGAAAATTTATTTAGAATTTGATAAACATAAAAGTGTTTGATTATATTATGCTTACCATGATGCGAATCAAATTCGTATAGTATTGGATAATGTGAGTCAAATACCAATTGTACATTAGCACATGAATATTGGCAACCACAAGGAATGCAAATAGAAAGCAAGCAAATTGATAAAGCCTGATATTGTTCGGCTGGTCCTCTGGATTCTGAGCCGGAAATCGGTGCCGATCGCAATACATTGGCAAGTACAAGCCCAACACGACGACTGTGATGATAGCATATACCATATATCCTTCCATCCTCAAGATGTATAAATTTGATTGTGTTTTTCAATTTTACAAATGGAAAGCTAAAGCTTTCAAATAATTGACAAAAAACTGTGGCCTGCTTTGACAGAATTCAAACGAGTATTTTTAATCGATAGTAGGCCGAGCTGTACATTTTCCTGGTTTTATTTTACAGCTGAACTGAAGCGAGCTGGTATTTTGCAGTAGCTGCACGATGGTCACACTGACCCGTTAGCAGTTCAATTTGTTGCTGATCTTCGTGCGCTTTGGTTGTGCGTCGTCTGAATTTTTATTTTACTTTTTTTTTTTGGTGTGTCGCGCGCCGGCTGTTTAAATAACATACATACGTTCGTCAAAATTAGCTAAAAATACATTTAAACTGTTTTTTGAAACGCAAAGTTCACATTTTGCGCGTATGTGTGTGTGTGTGAAAGTGCTGAAAATGTGTTTTAATTGAAATTTGTTGCCATGCAGCATGCAATGTGCACCTGTGTCTGCGCAGTCAGTGAAGCCTGAAAAGCCAAGCCACAAAAGTGTAAAGTGCACTCGCCAGCAAAGCTGTTGAAAAAGAAGAACTAAGCCGAAAAAAACAAATACGAAACAAAACAAAGCGGAAAGTAACAGCAGCAACGACAGCAACAACAACAACAACAGCAACAATAATAACAACGCAATTCGCAACTCGAGAATTTCGCGCGTCGCTCGCTGCGCTCCAATTGCAGAAGCGCTTGGCTCTTATTGTTGTTGTTGTTGTTGTCATTGCTGCTGTTGGGTGTGTTTGTCTTCTTCTGCTAAGCGACCCACACAAATGAGGTAAATAACAACACCCACACACACACACACACACACACACACACACACTGCTAGATTCTGCTTAAATTCAACTTCAACTCCCTTCGCAATTTTACAACACTTGTAATTTGATGCTTTTGTTTGTTTACTTTTTGTTATGGCTAAGCCGTAAGGTTGCCAGACTTTTGTTGTTGTTGCCGTTGCCGTTGCCCAGGCAGCTCGCCCGTTGTTTAAGCCGTCTAACGGCGGTCCAACACCATTTTTGGACCATGTGAACACGGCAAATGCGTTAATTGCGTGCGGCCTTCAATTATGAAGAGTTTATTAAAACCAAATTTGTCGCTGTCATCGTATATAACGATTTGCTCCAAATACTGCTCCATATGAAGATCAAGCAACTAGAAAGTTCTGAGAGCAGCATGCGACACGCCTCACGCCCACTTTCACGCCCGACAATTGATTATGATTGCGCCTGATTGATGGATTGATCGTTTGGCTTGCGGCTGCTTGGGCTTATGCAATGCCCAGCGATTTGGCCGCATTGAAGTTACACACACACACACACACACACACACACACAGTTGCACTCGCTCTCAATCAGTGTTAGCCAAAGGCTTGAGCCGTGTGTCTGCAGCGCGGGGCAAAAGACTTTCGAATGGCGTTTGGCGACTTGTGGGCCAATCGGTTAATTGCATTTCCTGGACACTCGTCATCGTCATCATCATCATCAATATCGTCATCGTCATCGTCAGCATCTATTATGATCATCATCAATCGCTGGCGTTAATTGTATTTTAATTACCAGGCGTTGGAGTTGCCGTTGACGCTGGTCACACTGCAAACACATGCAAATTGCGGTATTTGCAGTATTGCAAAATGCATAAAAACAAACACTCAAAATGCTCCACTCTAGTGTGCTACACTAACACATACCCTGTATTTGTGTCAAGGCACTTCTCTCAGGCTTTTAAGCCTGCCTGAGAAGCTTGTTCAAATAAGTAAAAGAATTAACATATTTCTAAGCATGTTCTATTTGAGTGAATGTTTCTTTTTGGCTGCATTTGTCGTTTGTTGTACGATTTGTACGATTTGTACGATGGTGCTAAGAGATGTTGTTTATTGTCTTCAAAGCTAGTTTTGCTACAAAAAAATGGTTAACGCCTCCGAACAAGAGAACGTACGCCCAATGTCGGGCACTCTCTTTGGAAAGTATGGAAATAGTTTGGGAGCTAGGGAAGCTTTCACTGTATGCATTTGAGTAGTAAAATTGCTAAATGTTGATAATATTGTTGATTGTTATCGCGTATTTGTCGTCCACCTAAAATACGAAACGTCTGGTTGCTTGGGAGAGCATTACGATTGGGGCAGCCCAAAACTTTTTTGTATGAATAATAAGAAGAAGCGAGGCTGGAAGATATGAAAGCGATTCGCCTGGGAGTTAGGACATCAATTTATCTAAACGATATAAATAAGTTTAGTCTGGCTTATAAGAATGCATGTCAACTGGTAGAACACATTTTGAATCAGATGTGAAAAACTAATTTGCCTGACAGTTAGAGAAAATGTCAAAAAGTGTTTCGTCTGAGAGTTTTGACTGCACGTTTGGCGATTTGAGAGATATTTCTATAGATGAAAACATTAAGATACTCGCACGGTAATAAGATACCCTATGTAAACAGCTGCCGCTATGCGGGGTATAAAATGCATAATACAAAATGCCAATTCACGTTGAAGCGTATCTCATAGATACACAAAATTGAAATTATAAAAATGCTGCTGCTGCTGCTGCTGCTGCTGTTGTTGCAGGCGGCCCCATAAAAAGGCTCCTTTTGTAATTCAAAACTGCCGGCAAGCAGCAACCAGTTGGACGCCCAACGGCCCAGTCCCAATCCCAATACCCAATACCCAGCCGCAGCCGCAGCCGCAGTTGCCCAGCCAGTTGGCCGCCTCGGACGGCATATTTATTTGTGTATTTTTGTTGTAGTCTAACAGTCTGTTTTGCGGACGGACGGGCGGGCGGACGGACTTGCGGACTGGTTGGCGCTGCGGATTGGCATTTGTAGGATAAGCAGCAGCCGTCGCAGCAGCCGTCGCAGACACAGCCGGTCGCACAAGCGAGCCAGTTTTTACACACTACAACAAAAGCTGCCGACAACAAACAGATTTCAATTGCTGCTGTTGTTGTAAATACCTTGGCGCAAGGGTATCTCTGGCTGCATGTATAACACATGCCAAAGGGAACCTTGTGGGACACCATTCCACCATTAGACGGAAGACACAGCTCATAATTAAGCGTTGATCTCCAGGAAATACTTGTGAATTCTACAATTTTTCATTCCATTTCTTTGGCCACGGCTTCTTCATGGAGTCTTAATCCAATTGCGTAGAAAAATGCAGCTGTGGCTAGCGTTTTTCGCTTTTTACAGCTGCTCTTATTAACATTCTGCTTACCTAACAGCAGCTAGAATTCGTGTTTTAACAGCTGTTATTGCTGCACTTTGATTAACAGTCATTATTTATTTATGCATATTTTTGTTGAAATTTAAGCTATCCATTAAAGCTTAACGCATTTCTCTAGACGTTGTCAGCTTTAAACTTCAGTTAGCCCCTTAAAATGTTGCTTATCGCTGTAAAACATAATTTATCTCTATGCAATTGAAGCCTTTGAACTTAACTTATCCCTTTAGTATTAACACCTTTCAAATTTTTTCATCCTTTTGAAACTGAACTTCTCGCCGTAAAGCCAAACTTATCCTTACAAAACATAAATTAACTCATAATGCAGTTAACTGCTTTGACTTAATTTATCCCTTTTAAATTACAACCAATTTGACTCAATTTATCCCTTTTAAATTACAACCAATTTATCCTTTCGACATAACCTATCTCTATTAAAATGTATAGGATATATTTGATTTAACTTATCTAATTATCTTAATTGAAACCTTTCAATGTAAATTTGTCGCTTTAAAACTTTAACTTAACTTAACTTATCCTTTTAACTTAAAGGAAACACCTTTAAACTCGACTTATCCTGTTAAAACATAACCTACCCTTTTAAAACATTTATGTATCTCCTTCAAATTTAATCCTTCATACTTAACCTTCTTAACTTTTTAAATTGAATTGTTCGCTTTAAAACTTTAGCTTAACTTATCCCTTTGAAATTCAACTTATCGCCTTATCGCCCAACTTATCCTTTTAGAACATAACTTATCCCTGTAAACTGTAACTTTTCTCTTTAAATTTTAGGTTACATCTTTTACTCAACTTATCCCATTTAAATTGAAATCTTGTAATCTTAATTTGTCGCATCAAAGCTGAAACTTAACCTAACTTATCCTTTTAAACCTTTAGTTAACACTTTAAACCATAACTTTTTCTGTTAAAACTTAACTTACCTCTATTAAATTTAATCCTTTTTTAACATAATTTACTTCTTTTAAATTGAAAGCTTTCAGTTAAATTTTGTCGCCTTACAGCTGAAACTTAACTTATCTCTTTCAAGCTTAACTTATCCCTTAAAATTCAAATTAAAAGCCCCTAAAATATATCAATATCAATTTATCAAGCGAATGCATTCAGACAGCAGCTTATTGCGTTCAACTCAATGCGAAATACTCTCTCGAACTTATCTTTCTTCCTGCTCATAGTCCTTGGGCATAATCCAACTCTTACCTGATAAAGTCTGAGCCTCTTTGAAAACCATTTTGCTCTCCTGCTGAAGTTCTTCTCTCTGTAATTCTTCGTTAATTCCCATACAGATTGCGAGTAACACATTGATTTCGCTCAGTGTAGACGCTTAGTTCGCTTTAAAATGTAGCAGCATATCGTATCGTGTTCTAACCTGTTTTGCTTTTGATTTTAAATGCGGGAATTTGCCAGCGCAATTGGGCAATGCAATAGAACAGAGGCGCGTGTAAGAAAGGCTGGAGGGGGAGGGAGCGGGGAGTTGAAACGGGAAGTCGGCTGTCTGATTGCGGGCAACTTAAACTTTCGCTGGCGGGGCAGCAGAGAGGATCTTTTGCCTGCAGCTGACTTATCAGACGCCAGCCACGCCCAGTTAAGCCAGTTTCTGTGGGGCAGACAGTTGCCCGTTGCGATTTGTTTTTGTTTTTTTTTTTTTTTACTTTTCTATTTTTTTGTTTTGCTGCCTGGCAGCTGCGCGCCGCCAGCTGTTGCCGCGCGTCATCCTTTGCGGCAGCTGTGCGCGTGGGCAAACGAAAGACTTGGGCAACAAACTTGCCGCAGCGGCCGCACTTCAATTAAAACAACAACAACAACAGCAACAACTAACATCAATTTATGCAAAACAATTCAATTTTTGCCGCCATTCGTCGGTCATTTACCCTGACAATCGCATTAGGGCGCAACGACAACAACAACAACAACAACAGCAACAACAACAACAACAACAACAGCAGCAGCAGCAACGTACTTGAAACAAAGTTTCGTGTCACGCCTCAAAAACATCTGCGCGTCGAACGTTTCACACGCTGCCTGCTGCAAGTGGGAGGCTCTTTCTGTTGTTGTTGCTGCTGTTGTTGTTGTTGTTGTTGCTGCTGCTGTTGTTGCAGGTGTGTGGGAATCTTGGCAAATAGCAAAAGTTCAATAGCATCGCATCAGCAGCAGCTGCTGCAGCTGCTGCAACTACCTTCTGCTTGCACTGAGCAAAACAATTGTTTATCTTAACGAGAAAGTGCGAGAAATTCGGCTAGCCGAAGTTTTAATACGCTTCCAGAGATTTACTGCTTTTGTGAGATGTGTGAAAAAAGGGAAACTCGCGAATGCTGCGTTTGACGAAGATATCCTGGAAAACAGAATAGTTTGGCATACAAAAAATCATTTTGCGATCAATTTTTCCCATAGAGAGCTATATAATATAGTAGTGCGATCTTGATAAGACTCGACTCATATATAAGCAGCATAGTTTGAATAGTAAAGGCCGGAGTTGGTCAAGATATCTCGATAAAACAAAGGGATTATCATACAAGAACCAGCTTTTCGACCGATTATTCCTA